CAGCAGGAAAAGAGGCACAAGCATTTCTTTTGTATTGACTTAGTTTTTTTCAGGGCTGAGAACTGAAATAAAGTCATTTCAATTATAAAAGGAATTTGAGAAAATGGAAGCAGCAAAGGCTTAAAAATAGGCATGAAGCTTTTGAAATACTGCCTGTTGTATGTTCATCCATCACTTCAGAAGGTTGAGTAGCAGCAGTAATTCAGGCCCGGCCAAGCGGGGTCATTGCGCAGGTTTAAGGTGGTCAGACAAAGCACATAAGCTGATGCTAGTGTTCTGCTGTGGCAATGCTGATGTTCCCCAGTCTCTCTGGGAAACTTAAAATCATTTAAGCATCATTGCTTTTACCTTTCATATGTTCATGTATTATCATAGTGGAAGATCATTTCGCTCTCTTGATTCTTGTTCAGGCAAAGTTATTGTTTAAAGAATGTCTCTATGCTTTAAGTGAGAGCTGGGAATGTGGAGGAGAAAATAAGTAACCAGCTGGAGAAAATAAATAACCACTGGCCAATCTCACAACTAGTATTTGAAAAGGCACCTTTTCCCTTTTCCTCTTCTCCCACAGAAAGTCCCAAACTCATTTTTGTGGTATTACTCACCAAAGTGGTGGAATGGTAGAAAGGTTTGGGTTGGAAGGGACCTTAAAGCTCATCCAGCTGCAGGCAGGGACACCTTCCACTAGAGCAGCTTGCTCCAAGCCCAAAATGAACTGCTAATGTTTTTGCCCTCTCTTCCCCCTTTAGCTATGACAGAGGATCCACATTCAACGTGTTTGTGGGAAAAGGTCAACTTATTGCTGGGATGGACCAAGCTCTGGTTGGCATGTGCGTGAACGAGCGGCGCTTCGTGCAGATCCCCCCCAATCTCGCCTATGGAAGCGAAGGTGTCTGTAAGTACAGCACGGGGCCAGCAGGGAGCTGGTTGTGCATGGGATTCAGCAGAGCACATAGAGAATGGAGACACAGAAGAGCAGAAATGGCAAGTAGTGAGTTTCAGAGGGGTTCTCCCTTGCTCAGGGGTGTTTGTTAAGCCTCGCTATTATCTCCACGCTCCCCCTGCATGCTGAAGGAAGAGCTGTTGACTTTACAGGACCTTCAGCAAATGAAGCTTGCTACTGAAGTTCACCATTGGTATATACCTACCTCAATGTTAAATACTTACTGTGGTTTGGCATGGCAGTGCTGCACAAGGTCTTGTCAGTGCCAGAAGCAGCCTTGCTCTACAGGCTCAACAGAGGCAACAAATGCTAAATCAAGATCAGTCTGCCCGATGAACATGTTTGATAACAGTTCATGCTGCTAGATACTGCTCCTTAAGTAGCTGCAACAGTGAGAAGGGGCCAGGGGGATATAAGCATTACAAGGAGTAAGGTGTGCAGTGTGCCTTTTTTTTAGGATATGCATGGATTATGTTCCCTTTTTGCTGATGCCCTGTAGAAAAAGGGAAATGAAAGTGGTTGTGTTTGGCTTTTGCAGCTGGTGTGATACCCCCCAATGCTGTGCTCCATTTCGACGTGCTTCTGATAGATCTTTGGAACTCGGAGGATGAAGTGCAGGTTCAGACTTACTTCAAACCTGAGAAGTGTCCTCGGACAGTCCAGGTGTCTGACTTCGTACGATACCATTACAATGGAACATTCCTTGATGGGACCCTGTTTGATTCAAGGTGTGCGGCTGGGTTGTGTGTCTTTGTGTATTTTAATAGGTATCTCATGTCTCTTAAACCCATCATTGACTCCTTCTTCACTGGTGTAACATTTAATGCTAATTGCTGAGAAACACAGGAAATGAAAGCTAGCATCTGAGTGTCAGAAACTTATTTAGAGGTTGTAGACAGAGGTACTGACTCCAACCAGTAAAACAGCACATTGTTTTTTCATGGGCATTACAAACCAAGGTCACTGTTTATTGCAATCAGCTCAAACTTTCTATAACCCCTGCAGCATAGCTATTCAAATCAGAACAAGCTTTATAAACTAAGCGGAGTTTGTAATGAAATTGAGCTGCTAAAACTTTCATGCTGAGATTTTAAGTTTGCAGCATGTGGACTTCACTGAAGTTTGGTGGAAGATAATGGTTTAATAACAGCTGCCATTAGGTTTGTGAGCCTCTTTTCAAAACCTCTATTAGGCTCCTGAAATAGCTAAGCACTCTGGAAAACACTGCCAATCCTTCCTTGGTAAACCAAGGAGCAGGATCTTTGCAGCAGCAACTTGTGAGTTATAGCATAGAATAACAGAATCAATGAGGTTGGAAAAGACCTTTAAGATCACCAAGTCCAGCCCTTCCCCAGCAGTGCCAAGGCCACCACTAACCCCTGGCACTGAGGCCTCATCTACCTGGGGTGTGAACACGCAGGGACGGTGACTCCAGCACTGCCCTGGGCAGCCTGTTCCAATGCCTGAGCACCCTCTGGGCAAGGAATTGTTCCTCAGCTCCAGCTAAACCTGCCCTGGGGCAGCTTGAGGCCGGTTCCTCTTGTCCCATCCCTTGTTCCTTGGGA